ACTTATATTTTGGGCACTGTTTCAGATAACTCTGTTAAAGCATAAATATGCTTCCTGAGAGGGACATTACATTAACTGAGGATTACAGTAACAAAGTGTGATGAGGGTCTTGAGGGACAAAGAGAAGGGACAGGAAAAATTCCAGGAAAGGCCCAAAGCACTGGTGCAAGAAAAGGCAGGCATGAAGACACCAAGGAGGTTAACACAAGGAAGGACAAAGTGATTCCCAGGAAAGAACTGAGAAGTCAGGAAGGGAGGGCTCAGAAAAGGATTGTGGAGAATGTTGAAAACAAACGCTGCTACTTTCAGATTTTGTCTAGGGCTGGCCATAAATTCAGGGAGGAAGGGAGATAGGAGTAATGGAAGATCTGGAACAACCTTTCAAAAGTGAATATGCTAAGGAAATTGAAAATAGAGTCAAAGGGTGCAGTAGTACACACTGTAGTGTTTATTAGAATTTTGTTGCATTACCTAAAATAAATGAATCCTCATTAGGGTTTAGAAATCTGTTTGTTAATGTTGAAACTGTATTACACAATTCTGTCATTCAATATTTTACTGAAATTTATTACACCATTACCATAACTAATTTTAAAGGAAAAATAAAGAGATATTAAAAATAGAGTGACTAGAATCCCCATTAAGGAAAGATGAATTTTCAGAAGAAATACTTGGATGAGATCCCTGGAGTAGAGGTGAAACTCTGAATACAGGCCAAGTAAGGAAAGTTAATTGCTAAATTATGAATAAGAGGAAGAGAAGGATGTGTTGTTGTCCCTGAGAAGTGGGAAGAACTGAAAATAAAAAGTGGACAAAGAAAGAAGCCCATGAAGCTGGGCCCTGCATGGGGGATAGGCCAGTAAGGGGAAACCCTGGGTGGCAAAACCAAATGTGGATGAGGAGACAGTTGACAACTGAGTAAAATACATAACAAAATGATTCCCCTGTCCAGGTGGGTGTGCCACAGAATCACTTGTGTTTGGTCAATCTACAAGTTTCTACAATGAATAATCCATTATAAAAAATGCTTTCTCTTGTCCCTTGAGCTCACTATTTAGAAAAAAATTATTGAAAATCCTGTCAAGTTAAGTTGCAGAAGTGTTAAGAAACAACTGAGCTCTTCTTTTGTTCACTGACTTGTTAGTCAACAAATCTATGTTTGGTGTCTGCTGAAGCTCAAAGAGGAACTCTGATGAACATAGTCAAGAGGGTCTTGGCTCTCCCGCCACCTACAGTCCGGTAGACATTTCTTGGTTTTTGCTTGCAGTAGCTACTCTTCAGCTTTTCTCCACTACTAATATTTCAACTGTCTTTGAATAAAATCACCCAACTGAACTTTCTTAAAACAATCTCTAGAACAAAGTACAACATGCTGAGTTAGGGATTTGTAGGAAAGCAGCACAAAGGAAGGTTTGTACCTAACATCTCATTTTTATGGGTTTCTACTGTGACCTGTCATTTGTTAATTACCACCCTTATTCTCATTTCCAACCAGCTAAAGCCTCGGAAACCCAAGGAGGGGTCGCTATGAGTCGGGTTTGACTCGACGGCACATAACAACAACAACAAAGTAAAGAAGTTCTGGTCGCACTATGATTAAGGCTTTGGGCTGCTAACCAAGCAGGTTGGTGGTTCAAACCCACCAGCTGCTCCATGGGAGAAAGAGATGAAACAGTCTGCTTCCGGAAAGATTTACAACCTTGGAAACTCTACAGGGGTTGATATGGGTCAGTATTGACTCTGGGGCAGAGGATTTGGTTTGGTTTAAAGTAAGTTGCAATATAATTGAAAAATATGGCTGTCTTAGGGAACAACAACCTAGATGTTATTTGTATTAAAGGAGGTGGCCTACAGTATAGGAAAAAAACTTCCTGACTCAGAAACAAAAAGACAAACAGTCCAGTCATGGTCTAACTACTCTAGTTATTGACTTTGTGACCTTGACCTTCTCTGGGTCTTACTTTCACCATCTGGAAACTGAGAGACTGAAAGGAGTTCTGGTGGCATAGTGCCTAAGGCATCTGACTGCTAACCAGAAGACTGGTGGGTCAAACCCACCAACCACTCTATGGACAGAAGACTGGGTGATCTACTTCTGTAAAGATTCACCACCTCAGAAACCCAAAGGGGGTCACTATGAGTCAGAATGGACACGATGGCAGTGAGTTTGGTTTTTTTTTTTTTAAACTGAGAGAGTGGACTGTCTGGTCCTTGAGGTGCCTTCCTGCTCTAAGCCTCTGTTTGCTCTAAAACTTTGCAGTAAAAAATTGTAAGTTAAATTTTTTCTAACTCCAGTTGTTGTTGTTGTTTTAAATAGTACTCATTCAGAACACTTAAAAATAGACACCTGATACAAATGTACAGATAAAACCAAAAAAACAAACCTACTGCCATCAAGTCAATTCTGACCCATAGTGACCCATAGAGCAACTATTCCTTTTTCAATAAGCTATCATTCTAATGCCTTGTATCATCAATCAGTGGGGCGGGGGGGAAGAAAACCAAATCTACTGCTATGAAGTCATTTCAGACTCATAGCAACCCTAAAGGGCAGAACAGAATTGCCCCGTAGGGTTTCCAAGGCTGTAAATCTTTATATCAGCGGACTGCTTCATCTTTCTTATGTGGAATGGCTAGAGGATTTGAACCTCCAACCTTCTGGTTAGTAGCCTGATGCTTTAACCACTGTATCACCAGAGCTCCTTATACCAACCACTAGGCCCTATGAATTTACAGCATAAATTATGGGTATATTTTCTATGTTGCCCTTTTTATTTTTCATTAAAGAACTTCCCTCATCACCTAGAAAAGAAGAGTTGACTAGGTCACCACACTGCTTAAAAACTTTCAAGAATTCTCCTTTATTTACTAAAGAATAGCTAAACTTATGACAGCATTGAAGGCCTTTCACAAGCCAGCGAACTTGACAACCCCATGCTTGGTGACCTCCAGTCAATCAGAGTAGACATCACTTTGTGACTTTAATCTTTTCTGAGCCTTACTTTCATCATCTGTAAACTGAGAGGCTGGATGTCTGGTCTTTGAGGTGTCTTCCTGCTTAAGATTTTTCTGCTCAAAACTTTGCAGTAAAATATTATAAGTTAAACATTTCTAACTCCGGTAGTTGAAAAAAAAAGTTCATGTCATCAGCTTGATCTCTCCATCTCCACCTAGCAACATCCTACTTACCATGCAGAACCCAGCTCAAGACCTGTCCTCTTGATAAAGGCTTCTCTGAGACACTCTTAAGAGCCTCCTCAGCCACAGCCACCTTCCCTCTGCAGAGCTCTCAGTAGCATGAAGGGGGTGCATTACTCAGATTATAAGGCTATGTAACACCTATACTGTTTTGACATCTTGTTTTTCACACAAAACTGTGTGAGCTTTGAGGACAAAGTGCCACATGTCAGTCTCCTGTATAACCATCCTGGGCCCTGATGAGATCACAGGGTTGCACAATTCTAGGAGCACCATTCCCTGCTATTCAACAACACTTCCACATAGCAATCACTTGATTTTTCAGCCTGAATGCATGACAGAGTTGCCTGTAAAGGTCCTTACCCATAAGAACATGAATGCCTCCCCAAATGAACAAAAGTTTCCATCTATATCTATGATTTTGATTTCAGAATGCAAATTTTGAACTTGAAAAATGAGATGTATTTATGATGACAAAACAAAGATTTTCGTTTGAAGGCAAGGTCTGTCATTCACAAGCATAAGAGGGAGCTGATTTCATCCTTTGGCTATCGTAAATAGTGCTGCAACACATAGTGAGGTACCACTGTGTTCTGCTTTTAATTCTTTTGGGTATATACCTAGGAGTTGAATTGCTAGACTTCTGAAAGTCCACCAATAGAAGGAAAAATAAATAAAATGAGGTACACATAAATGAAATATTACTCAGTTACAAAGAGAGCTCTGGTGGCTTGGTGGTTAAAGCACTAACCAAAAGGGTGGCAGTTCAAACTCACCAGCTGTTCCATGGGAGACAGATGAAGCAGTCTGCTTCTGAAAAGATTGACAGCCTTGGAAACTCTAGAGGGTAGTGTTACTCTCATCTTATAAGGTCACTATGAGTTGGAATTGACTTGATGACAGTGGGTTTGGTTTGAGTTTATAAAGAGAAAATGTTCTGATGCATGCTACAACATGGATGGACCTTGAAAAGATGATGCTGAGTGAAATAAGTCAGTCACAAAGGGACAAATATTGTATGATTTTACTTAAATGAAATATCTAGGATAGGCAAGTGTATAGAGACCAGAGTTTCTTAGTGGTTGCCAGGAGTGGGCCAGTGGGAGCAGGAAACGGGGACTCACAGCTCAGGGGACACTGAGCTTCTGTTAAGGGTGATAGAAAAATTTGGAAATGAGTAATAGTGATGGTTGAACAATGTGATAAATTTAATTAATGTCACTGAATTGTACACATGAAAAATGTAGAAATTATAAATGATTTGTTATATATATACTTACCACAATGAAAAAAAGGAAGGAGGGAAAAAGAGGAAGCTGATGTAAAGGTGTCAAAAATCTCTAGATGAATATAGGGGAGACTCTTGTCAGGTCTGCCCTCCCAGGGGGGTGGGTGTTCCTTGTGTTCCTAATTAACATTTTATGTGCAGAGAGTGATTTCTAGCAATGAGGATTATTGGCATATAAACCATACTCTCTCTTTTGAATTATAAAATGGTCAAAGGTGCAATGCTGCTATACTGGAAGGCAAGAAAAAAGCCTAATATTTGTCCCTTTAAAAAAAATAGCAAGCATGTACATTAGTATGTATTAACCAAATAATTCTGTTTGCTTAAAATTCTCAGTTAAATTTTTCTAGCTTGAGTAACATGGAAAAACAGTGATTTCCATATTTTACATGTGGATGAGATGATTCCAGTGAACAGTATTTTTAGAGTTTATTTCTGGATTGTTCAGGAGGAAGATGTCTTAGAAAAATATACTAGAAGGATTTACATGATTCCATTCCATGAATGATGGTACCTGTTTTCTTCCCTAAGATCATTTTCCATAGCTTGAGTCTCCCGCTCCAACTTCTGGGATCTTGTGTGGTCTCTCCAAGCTCGTAGGACCTTTAGCTGAAACTTCCAGTTGGACAGGGTCCCAGCTTTCCCCAGCTTAATCCTATGATCAAGAATCAGCTTGTGCCAGGCAGAGAAATACCGTTTTTGACACTGCATTAAAAACATTTAGAAAATCATCACCAATCAGTGCTAGTGCTTCTGATATCTAGTATCAACAGCCCTCTCCTCAGATCTCCCCCTCACACTTTTTTGAACAAGTCTAGGGAAGGAACTTTTTCCAACAAGTCTTAATGGAAGTAAAACAGACAAAGCACAATTCTTTTATGCTACTAGTAACTAGAAATACTAAAGTCACGTGACTGAGGCATCCTCAGTCCCATTATTTAAATGCACGTAATTCTCACCATGAGGCACTAGTCCTGAGAGGAGGTGGAGTAACTTCTAACATATGAGGTAAGAAACTTGTGAAGCAGCTTGAAAGACTTGCTTCCAATATGATTTTTTTCTGCCAGGTTCTCTTAGAGTTTATAATTCTAATAATTTAATTCATTCTTGATACTACTGGTGTCCTGCATAAGGATGAAACGGAGTCTCTGGTCCTTGGGAACAAAACGAAAAAAACCAAATTCACTGCCATTGAGTCAATTCTGACTCATAGTGACCCCTCCTTGGGTTTCCGAGGCAGTATCTCTACGGAAGTAGATTGCCCAACCTTCCTTTCGAGGAGTGCCTGGTGGGTTTGAACTGCCAGCCTTCTGGTTAGCAGACAAATGCCTTCGGCACTATGCCACCAGAGCTCCAAGACAGCTACAAATAATAGCTTCAGCTGGGCTACTATTGACTGCTGACAATACTAGAGCTTTGGAGAACAGGTTTAGAGAGACTGGATGCTGAGAAAGCTTGCAATATTCTATTATGTGCATTGGACAGCAAGTCACATGAGGTCTATAGTCTCTAAGGAGTCATACTTGACTTGTGGTCCTATTCTAAAAGATTTCGGAATCCTTGTATAAATCTTTTATTTTAACAACAAACTTTATGTTTCTACTACCTCAAATACTTTCATCTCTTGGCTTTATACCAACCACACTGTTTCATACTCCCCTATCTCTGTCTAGTAGTTTTCTGCCCTCTCCCTGCTTGGCTACTTCAGGAATCTCTTCTCTCAGGAAACCTTCCTATTAACAAGTGCCCCTCCACTATGCTCTCAGAGCAACCTGTGCTTTCTTCAGCCAAAACATTCATCATACAGTATTATAATCACCTGTCAGTGGTTGCCCCTAGACTGTGATCCCTCTGAAGGAAGGGACTGGGTCTCATAAATGGAAATGACAAATCTGAGAGGGGCACCAAGTATCAGTGGGAACAGTGTAACAGAAAGTGACCTCACTGGAAGTGGCCTTATGGTCACTGATGACCGCCAGTCCTGACAATCAGCTTCAAGGACTTAATAGCTTTACTAGAGTCAGCTCTATTTACTGCTTCCATCTCCATAAAAATACGTATCTTTCACTGTTCCTTGACATTTACTAAACACTCACTGTTGTGTTTGAATTTGGGAACACTGAACAAAGTTGTTAAAGATATAATCTCTACTTTTGAGAGGCTTTTAGGGAGAAAGGGTATATAAGTAAAAAGGCCAATTACATAAAAAAGCATAAGCTAGAATTCGCAGAAATAGCCCATTTGGCCAGAAGTGTTTTCTATATAGTAAATCAATTATATTCCCATTTAAACAACTACAAAATCTTTTTTATTACAATTTTTCATTAGGAGAAATTCTGGCAAACTTAAAAAAGCCCTCATTCCTTTTCTGTTAAGCCAAATTAGGGCACATTTTTTAATTCTTTGCTTTAGAGCTCTGGTGGCATAATGCCTAAGGCATTTGACTGCTAATCAGAAGACTGGCGGTTCAAACCCACCAGCCACTCCTTGGAAGGAAGATTGGGCAATCTACTTCCATAGAGATACTGCCTCCAAAACCCAAGGAAGGGTTGCTATGAGTTGGAGTCAGTTCAGTGGCAGTGAGTTTGTTTTTTTGGTTTTAGATCCAAAGGAAGGAAGAAAGAAAGGGCATAAGGGAGGAAAACAGAGAAGGAGAAAGAAAAGGAAGCCTGAATATAGGATAAGCCTTCAGTCATAATGATGAAATGATACACAGCCACCAGGCTGAGGGGCTATGCTTTTAGCATCATTATTATTTACTTATCTATCCACTAAAATACAGCATTAAAAAAAGAACACAGTGCTGAGTATCATTTTTAAAAGAAAACACCAAGTCCAGATTCATTTAAGACACTCCGCCTGAATGATCTGGTGAAATAGTTTACGTATAACCATCTCTAATAGGAGCTCTGGTAGCATAGTGCCTAAGGCACTTGACTGCTAACCAGAAGGCTGGCGGTTCAAACCCACCAGCCACTCCTCGGAAGGAAGGCTGGGCATTCCTACTTCCATAGTGATACTGCCTCGGAAACCCAAGGAGGGGTCGCTATGAGTCGGGGCCGACCCGATGGCAAATAACAACAACACAACAATTTTAACTCCTGGAATAGTCTAATGATGAAATCGTACAAATATAATCCTCCCTGACAATAATAACGCTATTAATGGTGCCCTTGGATTTTTACATTCCCTTTCTCTATAAAGTACAAAGCAACTTACATGTACTATTTTATTAATTCTTAGACCATCATTAAAAAATAGACTTTAGATATTATAATTTACCTCATTGGGCCAAAAGTTCAAGTAGAGAAGGGTTTAATGACTGACTTTCCAAAGAGAAAAGTTAGTGATACATATAAGGTGAAAGCTGAAATACTCTGGTATCCTGGTGACTTGAATCTATTAAGCAAGAAGTCTTTTTGATAAAGAAAGTGGAAACTTTTTGGTTCTTTTATAGTGGAAGAAAACTCTACACATAACCTGACATGATACAAAAGCACTGGATAATACCTGAATTTAAAAATTATTTGCTGTCAAGTCAATTTCAAGTCATGGTGACTCTATGTGTGTCAGAGTAAACTGTGCTCCACATGATTTTCAGTAGCTGATTTTTTGGAAGTAGACTGGCAGGCCTTTCTTTGGAGGCACCTTAGAGGTAGATCTGAATCTCCAAGTGTTTGCTTAGCAGCAGAGTATGTTAACTGTGCTGCCCAGAGATTGCCTATCTGAATTTAGGAGAGGAGAATTTGAGTTAATAAATGCTATACTCAATATATTTTCTCAAGAAGAAAATTACCAGTTTTTTTTTTTTTTAATTGTGATTTGGTTGAAAGCTTGCAGAGCAAATCTACTTTCCATACAGCAGCTCACATACACTTTGTCTCATGACACTGACTACAATTTACCAAAATGCAACAGCTCCCTTCCTACCTCCTCCCCATAGTTACTTCTTCCGTGTCCTTCCCTCCATGCACTCCTGCCCCCTGAGCTGTCTCCCTGTGCATACATAGCCCTTCTATTTTCCCATGATTGTTCTCTCCAAGCAGTGTATCTACCTAATGAACATGTTCAGCTCATATGCTTGTCTTTTGTTTGGCTGGAAGCCACAGGAATGGGTTTAATTCCAGACCTGAAGGGCAGCTAGGGGCCATAGTCTCAGTGGTTCCATCAGGCTCTATTAGACCAGCAAAACTGGTCCCCCTTTTTTTTTTTCTATATATA